AAAAAACTAGACCGAGATTTGCTTGTCAATCTCCCGTTTATTTAATGCATTTGTAAAACCAGGAGGAATAGGGGCGCCTGGCTGGCTCAGTGGGAAGAGCATGCGACTCTTGATCTCCTGGTTTTGAGCTTGAGCCCCACGTTGGGTGTAGAGATTACTAAAAAAATAAACTTAAAAAAATAAAAATAAATAAGAGGATGAATAAGTGCCTGGGAAAACGGCAAAGAGCCATTTCTGCTAACCGCCTATGGGTAGTGAAATGATCATGTAAAAGTCCTTCCCCATACCTTCTGTGTTTGAGAGAATTCCTGTTTTGCAAATTGAAAGACACTTTTTAAAAAGCCCTTGGCCACGTTTCCGCCGCAGAGCGTTCAGGTTTCTGCGGAACACGTGACCCCAGTGCGAACGTCCCGCCTGGATTTGGGGTCTGCACTGGTGCGCGCGCTGGGACTGACTCGGTGGCGACAAGGTAATTCTTGTGACCGGAACTAACCCTGAGTGCGGTTCACCAGCTCTCAGGTAATGTTGTGATGAATTTTCAGGGTGTGCAGCCCGCCTGGTCATGCGGGTAATCCAGACTTGGCGTTGCGTTGTCACATGTTTGCTCCACTGTGCGCAGAGACCAAGAGTGACAGGGGCTTCCTTTTACTTGTCACAGCATCGTGTGCCGAGGGGATTGTAGGGCCAAGAGAAGGTTGTTTTTGAGAGTAGTTGATCGTAGTACGCCTGAAACGAATTCAACACTGTCTGTTAACTACCCTGGAACTAAAAATTTTAAAGTTTTAGAAATAGGCGTGCCGGGGGTCTCAGGGTGTTAAGCACCTGACTTCTGCTCAGGTCATGATCTTGCAGTTTGTGGGTTCAAGCGTCTCAGAGCCTGGACAGCTCAGAGCCTGGAGCCTGATGCAGATTCTGTGTCTCTCTCTCTCTCTGCCCCTCCCCTGCTTGTGCTCTGTCTCTCTCTCTCAAAAATAAACATTAAAGAGCAAAAAAATAAATATATATATATATAAATAAAAAATTTAAAAATAACCAATAGATAAGTAAGTAAATAATAGTTGATCCTAGTAACTGCAGGGGTCCTGACTAGCCAGTATCTTTGTCTGTTTAAAATTTTTTTAATGTTTATTTATTTTTGAGAGAGAGAGAGAGAGAGAGAGAGAGAGACAGAGCATGAGTGGGGGAGGGGCAGAGAGAGATGGAGACACAGAATCCGAAGCAGGCTCCAGGCTCTGAGCTGTCAGCACAGAGCCAATGCAGGGCTCGAACTCACAGTGAGATCATGACCTGAACCGAAGTCGGACGCCCAAGTGACTAAGCCACCCAGGCGTCCCAAGTTGTATTATTATATAGTCTATCAGAAACCAATGTTTATTTTTTTTTTTTCAACGTTTATTTATTTTTGGGACAGAGAGAGACAGAGCATGAACGGGGGAGGGGCAGAGAGAGAGAGGGAGACACAGAATCGGAAACAGGCTCCAGGTTCTGAGCCATCAGCCCAGAGCCCGACGCGGGGCTCGAACTCACGGACCGCGAGATCGTGACCTGGCTGAAGTCGGACGCCTAACCGACTGCGCCACCCAGGCGCCCCAGAAACCAATGTTTAGAACAAGAGTTGTAGGGTTTTCTTTTGTATCTCAAAATGAGATGAATTTTTTTTTACTTTCTTTTTTTTAGCATTTATTAGTTTTTGAGAGACAGAGAGAGAGAGAGTGAAAGCAGGGGAGAGGGGCCGAGAGAGAGGGAGACACAGAATCCGAAGCAGGCTCCAGGCTCCAAGCTGACTGTCAGCACAGAGCCCGACATGGGGCTCGAACCCATGAACCGTGAGATCATGAGCAGAGCCACCCAGGTGCCCAAGAGATGAATTTTTTTTTATAATAATGTAGTATTTTGCTTCCTTGCCTCATTCCGGGGAGTAGAATGGGTCCTAGTCATTTTAAGAAATACATCAATGTGCCGGCTTCACTTGCAAGGTTTCCAAGGCATGTGCCTGGTGGTTAGATCCCAGTCGGGAAGGGGCATCACTGAGGGTGATGAAGACATTGGCATCATTGAGCGTGATGGCAAAGACCAACCATGTGTCATGTCCCACCCTGACCCTGCACCCAAGTTCATATGTTGAAACCTCACCCCCAGTGTGATGTTGTTTGGGGGGGTGGGGCCTGGGGGGGTGACCAGGTCAGGAATGGGGTGATTGTCACGCCGTGGTTTCATGTTTCTTGAGTCTGAGCCCTACATCGGGCTCTGCACTGTCAGCAGAGAGCCTGCTTGGGGTCCCCTCTCTCTCCTTCTCTGTCTGCCCCTCCCCTGCTCGAGCTCTCTCATTCTCTCAATAGTAAATAAACATCAGAAAAAAAAAAAAGCTGAGAAAGGTCATTTAAGTTGAAATCATACACACACCGTTATGTTATTCAAGGATACATATTTGTGTGATAACATTTTTAGAACCACATGGGAATTGTGCATAGCAGGGTCCAGATGGTGGTCACCCGTGGGAAGGAATGGAGAGGCGTGCGATTGGGGAGTGATGTTTTGGGGTCTCCCATTGTGTTTGCGGTATTTCACTTGGGAAAAACTCTTGAAGCAAACACAGCAGATTCCTGATTTGTGGCGGCAGAGAGGAGGGTACAGGGGGACCTTAGCACGACACGGGCTGCTCGGAAGGCATCGCAGTAAAGCAAGTACATGTCGCTCAGGAGGACCCAGTGACGGGTGGGGTGTGGCTGCAGGTGCACCAGCTGACCCGGCCATTAGGCCATTATGATGTGTCACAGAAGGTGATGTAACAGGAGAGTGTTCAGCATTTCTACATTTGCTCACTCACGGTGTCTCCCTCCAAGGCGTCTTACCCGGGATGTAAGACAAGAAACGGAGCAAAACCCTCTCCGTAGAGCGTCATGCTGTCCGTAAAGTAGGAAAGAGCCAGCAAACGCCGTCCTTCCTTCCCCCGGCTCCCTGCCACCTCGTGGGGGGAAATGAGCGGAAGACCGAAGCCAAGAAGGGGGGCCAGGTTTTTTAGAGGTCATTCTGAAGAAGCCAGCGTCAGCGGTGGACTCAGTGACGTGCTCCGGGGGCACGGACGCCCTGACTTCAGTGGGTATGCAACTGAATGATTGCACCTTTGCAGAATGATTTCCACGAGGTCTTATGTTCCACATCCCACGTGCCAGGCGTACTCTGTTTACTTGGAAAATAACCCAGCAAAACTCGTGTCCTTTTTAGAGAGAGGCCTTTCCAAAGGTCTCCTCTGTAGGTTTCTCTCGATCACAGGACTTCCCGTGGGATGCTGGGTCCGCGCTACGCAGGAGTTACTTTGATTCCGTACAGCCAACTGGGGACAAGGGTTGTGAACGAGAAGCCATCGTTTTAGAAGAA